TGAGAAAGCGCTGAGAAAAGGCTTCGCAGTGGAGTGCCATGGAGATCAATATGTACTTTTGTATGAATGTTCATTTGCTTTCTGAACAGCTGGTGGCAGTGACTCAGAAGCTAGATAAGCTGTGGAAGTTAGATAACCTGCTGCTGCTGCGGCTGCTACTACTACTACGACTACAACTACGACTACCACTACCACTGCCACTACCACCACCACGACCACGACCACGACCACGACCACGACCACTACCACTACCACTACTACTACCACTACTACTACTACTACTACTACTGCTACTACTACTACTACTACTACTATTCCTGCTCCTGCTTTGGGGGGTGGCTTTGCCACAAAACTCTACCCCGCAAAAGGCGAAAGTTTGGCGAAAGTTCAGCTCAAGATTGGCGAAAGTTCACCCTGCCACATCTGACCCCCAGCCCATTATGAGTAAGTTTGAGTGACCGGCTACTACAGTGGTTCTTGCAATTTTGATTCTTGCTGACACCCAGGAGAAACAAAAGAGACGTACTGGGTGTCAACAGTTAAGTAGAAGACACATGCTGACAAACAGTGAAGTTTCTATTTTGTGTTTGCCAGTAAAGAAGAAGCCATTGACGTGAACAAAACACAACATACATGGCACACATAAATACAACGTACTTCGGCGAAAGATAAAACGCAGGAAGGCGAAAGTTTGGCGAAAGTATTTTTTTTTGGCGAAAATGACGGATCCCGGATAAAGGAATTTAGATCAAGTCCCATATAACGCTTTGACAAATTCAAGCTGGTAGTGAACATGGTAGTCGCAGTGCGTCCTAGCAGTAGAAGTAGTGTAGCAGTCGTTGTAGCAGTTGTGGAAGTCATTGTTTTAGCAGCAGCAGCAGCAGCAGCAGCAGGATTAGTAGCAGTAGCAGGATTAGTAGCAGTAGCAGCAGCAGTAGCAGTAGTTGTAGTAGTAGCAGTAGTAGTAGTTGTTGTAGTTGTTGTTGTAATGCAGTAGCAGTAGTAGTAGTAGTAGTAGTAGTAGCAGCATCAGTAATGGTAGCAGAGGCAGTACTACATGCAGCAGCAATAGCAGCTGTAGTGCTTTTGTCGAGGGTGTCATTCGTTTTAGTGAGTTGGGCAGCTAAGGACAACAAACAGCTCGAGGACGCGTAGATTACCGTGTCGTTGAAGGCGCTTCCACTGGCACGTGATATTTCGCGAGGCTTGGGAGATCCATGGACTCAAATTGCAGGGTGCGAAGATACTAAATTTTCTTGGCCCAAGCAGCTTTACAGCAAGACTCCCCGCCGCGCCCTTCGAAGATGCCGCGAAAAGGGTGTGCCTTCCGTCCAGTTGCTGACCGGAGGTCTTGACTGAAGTACAAGTGGTCTCATAGTTATGTCCATATGTCGAAAACACCTCAGGTGTGTGGCTTGAGTTTCTTCAAACTGAAGTTGTTTTGATGTACCTAAACATGCCGAGAGGAATGCTCCATAATTCTTGATCATTCACTTTGTGAAGCCGCACAGATACTGTTCACATATGCTTGGCTTAGAGGTGTAAGTGTGTAAGAGATATGTTTTGAATATGTTTTTAAACGCTGTGTACAATTGAAGAAAGGTACAAAGAGATGTCCATGTATCCAAAGTTTTTCTTGCTTGCCGGCTGCAAGCGCCTTGTGTCAAAGGGAAGTTCCCTGGACAGCTGGTGGTCGAATACTAATTCTCACAGCCAGGGCGCCTTTGGAACGTGAACTTGTTATATACTTGAAAGCATTTGCCTTTCTGTCGGTAGCACAGTAAGTATGTCACTTTATAGCCTGCATTCCTACGATGACTGTTGCATCGATGCCATTTTTGACTTGATGCTTGCAGCTGGCGCCGACCCCGCCTCCCCGCATAAAATGGAACCTTGTGACAAGCCCAAACATATATAAGCCAAACCAAAGCACCATTGTACCATGCCCTTCTTGGAATTCGTATCCCCTCCTCCCAATCAAGTCGTGAAAGTATTACTTTTGGGGTCAGAATCCCTATGTCGCTTACATTTTTTGAGTCCCGTTGTGTTGGGGTAGAGATCAAGAACAAAGTGCATGATCCCAAGTTCTTGGGATCAAGGTCACTAGGTCACCAGGGTACCTGTATATATAACCTGGTTTTAGTTTTCTCCAACCATAGATCGCTTTGGACGGCCGTATTGTCCAACCAAGGAGCATTGTGAAGAAGTCTTCGCGTTTGGGATTCGCCTTGATCTGCATGAGCATCCTGATGTCGATTCTTCTTTTCTGGTATGTGGCAGTGGACCATCAAGCCTTCAAGAACACCAAGGAGAGCCTGAGAGGCTATGATCTCGGACCCGGAACTGAGGGTCCGAGATCCCTGTTTGCAACGTTTGAGCCTAGCAGTGAGATGGAAACTCCAAGCCTTCAAGCAAACTTTGTGGTTCACAAAGCGATCCTGCAGCCTGCAGGACAGCATTCTAGGCATTTTAAGCTTTTTGACTTTGACAAACTGTCACCTTCACCAACTCCGAGGCTACATGCTTACACACTCTCTCTACATTTTATGTATGCTTCATGCATGGCAGCATCACACACGCGTACTATGCACGCCCGTTTCTGGTGCAACCCGCATTCCGCAGGAGAAGAAGCCGCGCTGGGCGGTCTCTGAGCTGAAGACCGGCCGCTTCCGTGGCGTCGCCAAGGTTTGCGCCGCCATGGCGCCCATTTGCACGGCAGCGTGGATGGGAAGTGGTCGGAGATGGGTAGGAGCAGTGGAGATCATTGCCATAGTTGGGGCCTATGGCGGGTTGGAATGTCATGATCCGAGTCGGAACTTGTCATATTCATATATTCTAATGTCTGGCGATGCCAGTATAGCCCTGCACTTGGAGATTATACAAACTTCACTTCTATGTGGAAAAGGACTGAAAAAAGGACGCACTTTCTTTGTGTACCTTGTTGCCTAGGGTGACCTTAGTGAACTCCTGTACCATGGCGCATGATCCCAGGCCGGCTGCGTCATGCAATATCGGTGCCTGGGATGCAAGCTTGGTAGGTTAGCCCATCCGGCAGAAGCTGGGAGACCAGGAACTCCATTGCTCCCGTATGGGACGTTTGAGGAATAGTTGGGCCTCAAAACAGTTCGACGTGTCTAGGGAATTGTATAGACGTTTAGAGTTTTTTCTAGTCTTCCTTTGTGCCACGCGTCCACTGGCCGTCAACATCAACCACAACCACTCCCAACCAGACACCCACAATTGAAGCGATTGAAGTGGAGAACGCTACAGAGACAAAGCGTTTTTCCAAGCATCGGGGTGAGTCCACGTTGTTGGGCATGTCACAGACTAGACCTTTGGCGCGCATGAAAGAAAGAAGGACATATTTTGTTGGGTGGGTGGAGTGCAGCACTGGCTGAGGTTGAGTATTCAAAACTTCGAGCGTGTGGGTGGAATCCTGAAGCAGACTTTGTCGATGTTGGCGAAGGAGTCCGGAGAGGTGCAAATGCCCTGGGGCTGCGCTTCTCAGCTGAAGACGGGTGACATACACACCGACGCACCATTCTTGGATATGCCAATGCCTATCAGCAAAATTAATCCTGTTGGGGGGCGGTTGGTTGAGGGATCAAAGGAGGTGAGAGACATTCATGTGGATATGATTTAGAGTGATTGAGAGAGCCTCTACAGTAGCAACGACGCACTAAAGCATGGACTCTGGGGGAAGGGTCGGTTGGTGATTTTGCAACCGTCCACTCTTCTTTTGTTTAATTGTGAACTGGTTCACGTACACTGAAGTTACATGAAGAATCTGACAGTGCAACCAAGACAAAGGATACACAACTCTGCTCTACCTTCAACAAGCACCCAACAGTGCCGATTACATCCGATTACGCCTCTTTATGAAGAGAAGAAACTCCCAAGCCCTACTTGAGGCAAACAGAATGACTCCTGTCCAACATGTTTCGAGCTGTGCTGATTGCAGGTTTGTCTTCGCAAATGCTTTGCCCATAGTCTCAAACTTTTACCCAGGTAACTGACCCTACCCTTGGCATTATATAACCCATTTCTTCCCATCATCTTCCAGGTTTGGTACCTGATCATCGCCCTGGTCCAACTGGCCCTAGCCATCGGCCTACTGCGTGGCCCACTGCGGAAGCCGGAGATCCCACTGGCCATGGACGTGGTGGACATCCAACTGGAGACCTGGAGGACACGGATGGGGACGGCACGGATGGTGGATGGATGAGAGACGTGAGGAGTTGGTTTTGGGTTTCCGGCCCGGTGTGGTGACGTGGAGATGTTCTATTGTGGATGAACTATACTTGCTGAAGTCAAAAGAGCTAAGAACAGATTTTGTGGCCAAAATGGATCCAAAATGGACGAGCCCTGAGCCAGTGGCGTTTGCTCGCGCGCTTGATTTAGATACACCGTTGGTTTGTACATGAGCTGGGGCAACCCACACCTTGACTGGATTCTATTGTGTTTCATTTTAAACCTTCACTTTGAATTTTCAACTTCTTTGCACTTTGTCGAGGCATTTTCCGCGGTGAGAACTATTTATTAAGTAGAAGAGGGTCCAACCAGGGTTTTGAAGCATCACTCATCGGTAATTTTTCAAGGTTTAGAAGCTTTCAGGGTCCAGTCACGTACACTTGGCCGACGCTGATCCCTTTTGGGCCTCCCATACTGTTCATTTGTTGCCTCTTTGCCGCGCTTGTTGGCAACCCTGCAGGACGCGGCAAGAGGAGCGGATCGAATACGGTCTGTGGGGTCAGTGGGGGCGTTTGATCGAACATGGAAGCTGATGGCATGGATCTTCGGAAGACAATTTTCCTTTGAAACCCAGTGGTTTTCAGGTTCTAAGTTATATGTTAATTTTCCAGGGTGTATCTCATCCAGGCTGTCAAATCTTTCAGTGTTGCTTTGTACCATGGACATCCAAGGCGTAGTCCAGGTCATGGAATCAGACTTTAGATGACTTCAGACTCACTTGTGGCTGGTTTTTGCAGAATTTGAAGATCAGAAGGACTTCAAATGTATGTAGCCAGGGACTGCCGAGCCAAACAGTGTGGAAGTGATACGCTGCGTCCCCCGAGTTATATCCTATTTAGGGAGTAGATAAGAGCTTTGCAGTGGTCCCTTGCCGTTAGGCTACACATGTAGAATGCTTGTGACTACTTGCCTTGATGAGCATATGCACCTCGAGGTCTTCCAGTGACCTCGAGGTCTTTCAGTGTCAGCGATTTGCAACAATAGCAGCTAAGAGTAAGATCAGTTTGTTTATGTGTGTTTCCAATCCTAAGGCACACACATCCGCCAGTGAACCTCCTACATAGGAAATGGATGGAAATGGGTGTTCACCGTCATGTGCAAGTGCACACACTCTTCTTATCAAAATCTATATCCCAAAAAAGCCGCCACCAGCAGGAGATGTCCTCCCAAGCTGCTTCCAGCAGCACCACCTGGCCCCAAACGACGCCGCCGCCCTTGCCGCCCACCCCCACGCCGCGACCGCCCTGGCGCCCGGCGATGCCGCGGCAGCCGTGGCTGCGGCCGCCAGCGCGGTGGCCCTGGGGACAGCAGCAGCCGATGGCGCCGCCGGCACCGGCGCCGGTGCAACCACCAGGATGGAGATAACACTTGGATGAGGAGTCCCAGCAGAGGATTGGCTGATGATGCAGAAGAATAGGTGTTCCTGTGACATCCTGTGATTTCTTGTTAAGTTTAAAGTTATCAAGGTGGTTGGAACATGGTTGCAAGGGGAGCGATGAAAGGCAAGATCATCCAAGTGACTGGATTCGCAGAATTGGATTAAATCCTTCAAGGCATTTAGGAATGCAGAGGTGACGCGAAACTGTGTTGCTCTCCCATGTGCATTCCACGACGAAAAATCGCTGCAGGGTTTGGGCACCACGGGCAGGTCAGATGATCAATGAAGATGTTGATGCTCACTCACTGCTAGTGACATAGAACCTCACTCACTGGTCCACCGCTACTGAAACTCAAACAGACTCAAACATCTAAATCTACCTCAAGTGTATGGACTAGAAACGACTTTGTGCACCATGTTCCAAGCCCGATGGACTTCATTTGCTTATAGTTGTGAGCTGGTTGTGGCAAGCAGGTCCTGCACACATGAGCCCATATGAGCCCCATGCGTCCCTGCCATGTGGAATTTTGATGTGGCAGATCCTTACAGGTCGCAACCTTTTTCCTCATGTGTTTGGACTTGTTGGGACCTGACTTATAACTGAACTTTCAATGTGCCCATAGCAACAGCATGGTCTTCGGAGCCGGCATGCGCCAGTTCGCTGCCCTCCAGGGGACCTTTGGTGGGTGGCACTTGTTAACATGCATGGCAGGCGGGAGGAAGAGATCATGCGCCTGCAAAAGCTCTTGACTCAGCAGCGCTTGGACAAGGACATGGTCCTGCAGGGTGGGTGGAGCGTGTGTGGCGACAAGTCATGCACCAACGCGAGGCCTTTGGTTCTGGTATGGAGTGTAACCAGTGTATGGTCTTGTTCGTGCCTTGGTGAACATGTCCTTTCGATTCTTGTTGACCATTGGTGAAGATGCCCTTCCTTCGATGAAAATGCCCTTCGGTATAAATATATGTTTGGGTCCTGCTTCGTTTGTGTCAAGCGCAAAAAAAGGAGGTCCAAACCAAAGGCACGATGATTTTTATGTCAAGCGTTTGTTGTTCTTGTTGGGATGTTTTCCGCCAGGTTGCATTTGAAGTCGGGATGGCATAGAACGTTGCCACTTTCACTGACCGTCACCCATTCTTCCAAGACCATGTTGGTCTACAGTTTGGTCAGTTTGCTTTAGATCTCCTTGGTCATTGATATAAAGCGATTTCCAAATCACATCAAAGGATACTGGGGGGATTTGCGGTTCTGTCAATTCAGGGATTCTTTCTACACAGACACGATTTTAATGTGTGATTTGTTATCCATCTATGTCGACCTCCTTGAGCAAACACCCCGGTGCTGCTCGTACATAATGACTCCTGATCCCTCCTTGGATGCTGGATGCCCGACGGTCAATCTCCGAAAGAGCAAGCATTCACTGGGTGGTGGTTTCAGATATATCAACGTTCAACCTTTACTTGGCATGATTGATCCCACTGACTCAGATATCCAGCCATCACTTGGGATGATTGATCCCACTGACTCATATGTTTTTTTCACTTGAGGTTTGTTTCGCCACCGAACCACCTTGGTTAACTCGGGCGAACCTGTCCGAAACGATCCGGTCCAAAGGAGCTGAAGCCCAACTGTTGGAGTTCCTCGGCTTGGAAAAGTCTTCGGTTGTGGGGGTATAAAGATCACCGGATCGGCCAAGAATGTTTGGGTCAAAACGGTTTTGACAAGAGGTGCATAAAGGGATTCACTAGTTCTATATGTTTTTGTTTAAGGATGTTTGATTGAAAGTGGAATGGACCATTCTTATCCATGAGCACGGAGGCATGCTGCCATCGCCGGATGCCAAACAAATACATTGCAACATTATGCAACATTGACGGTTTTCTGCTTTGATAAATATAGTTGAGAAGTGATAAGCACCTTTTCTTGAAATTATGAGTTTGTGCTGATGTCTATTTCCGGAGGTCACATATCCAATCTTCAACAAAAGAAGGATGTGTATGTGGTCTTAAACAATGTTGGCACCAGCCGCCGGAGTCAACCTGCAAATGTCCATCCAGACCACACCGATTGGTTCAACAAAACACGATTGCACACATGCAGACGGTGAACCCACAGTTTTGAAGATCTGCTATATTCGAGATCAAGAAACGAAGGTTGTTTCTGGTTTACCATGTCCCGTCCAGCGTAAAGCACAACTCATTAGATTGTCCTAGGGAAACACCAACCAAAAGGTTGTGGCGGGCAACGCCTCAAGAAATTGACATGATTGCATTGCCAAGTGGAAATCAAAGCTCCATTCAAGGCATGGTTCCGCCCATTCCCCAAGAGTTCCAAATGACCATAACTCCTTTAGTGAACCTCTTGTTTGTTCGAAGGTGCAGGTCTCCATCCAGTCTTCCATCCCGTCGTCCGAGTGGGCAGATTCTGGATCACTTTGGACACTCCAAGAAAGCTGAACCCTGAAACCTCTTGAAGAGGTGACTTCTCGGATCATGTTGAACACAACCCGTGTTCTTAACACTCCTGACTCCTGTAGATGATGTCTTACCAAATCAAATGAGGCATATGAACGTTGTAAGTTGTGAGCTGTTTCATTCCAAGGCTAAGTAATCCCGAGTACCTATTAATAAACACTCCCCAATTAAAAAAAACACACGTCCGAACCCCTAAATTCGGTTTATATTTGGTTTTAAATTGCCGCCCTTTCAAGCCGCTACTAAACTACCAACATGGTCGATTTTGGGGGTAGTTTTTTTAATTAGGTTCCCCAAAATCAACCGTAACTGCCCACCTCTGTCCGCCCTGTCTATCCACCATGACACGCCGCGCTTACACCAGCAGGCTTTCCTTCCCCCAATGGCACGGACTCACGCAAACGCACTTGCCACCGAGGTCATGCAACACCGCATGGCACAGCGACATCACCTTTCGAAAGCTTTAGCTGTTAGTCTACCGAAGAATAACTATTCTAATGAAGGTTTTTGTAGGGGAAAAGGAAGACCCTTCGATCTGGAGCTTTTTTGCATTTTTGATACGAGTTTAATAAAGGATTTTATATAAAACTTTACGGATTTACTTTTTGGTTTTGAAGCTCTTCCCAGGTGACCCTATTTTGGACCCCCCGATTTCAGGGACCCCCTATTAAAAAAAATGCGACCGATGTTTTTTTTAAAAGGGGGGGAGGGGGGGGGGGGCCCGTGTTTATTATTAGGGGGACGGGATTATTGTAAGGGTGCAAAGGTTTCTGCTGTGACGCCGACGCCTACGCCCCGAGGTTGTGATCAAAACCTCTTGGACCTGGACGCTTACCTCCGTGCTTTGCAGCGCACTTGCATTGCCACCACAGGCACCGAAGAGGGTGCTTCGGCACTTGTTTTCGTGAACTCATTATTTTTGTGAGTCGAGGTTTTCTGACCGAGAGTTCAGGGATCTTAGCTTGCACAGAGTATGCAAGCATCAGGGTGGACTTATTTGAGTTGTTGAACGCATGCGTGGTTACAACATGTTACGTAACCAAAACCGGGCTGTTGAATCAGAGTCATGGCCCAGGTCTGAAGTCTTTTGCGTTTATACTGCTTCGTTTTGTGCATCCCGTGTGAACCCTCACATCACTCCCATAATTCTCACCAACATCGAGCACGTATATGGAGCCATGCAATTACTGCAGATCCACGGGACGAATTCTCGACCAGGCCGGTTCTTCCCGGAACTGCGCCCAAGCTCCGGCCACAACCCGCCGCAGGGGATCGCGGGGACAAGGCGGTCGTGGGGAAGGTGCGGTCGAACACGCTGCCGCAGTGGAGATGTGTGGAGCTCCGGAGGAGATGAGCTGGCCAGTGGCGTTGCTGGTGATACATCCAGCGGCAAATTGCCGTTGAAATGTTGTTGGGATGGGCACCTGTTGGAATCTATTTGGAATATATTTTAATCAAGAGCCCAAAAGGAATAAGCAATGAAGTGTCGCAGTTGAGACCGCAGTTGAGACGGAACTGGAGGACTAAAGTATATGTGACTCATACATCGGCTTATGTCATTGAAAGAGGTTCACCTGCCAAAAGGGCCGATTTGATTTGTTCATGAGTACATCCACATTTGCCGAGTGGATTATTATGGTGACATCGGATGACATGGGTACGTGTTTCCGTGTTTTGTGCAAAAAAGGGAAAAACAACATCTCCAAAGCATCCAGGTCCAGATCAACAGGGTATGGAATGGCACAGTTGAAGACACAAACACTTCATACAATGATGGTCACCAGCAAATCACAGTACTTCCCCCATTTTTCATGGATGCTCCTGAAACAACCTTTGCAACATATAATGATCATGCGTCGTATCTAGGTCATGCGCTTCATGCCATCAACGGTCTCGAAGCGCGAAGCGCAGATCGCATCGACCTTGACGGCGCTGGTGAATGAGATCGAGGAGTCGGGAGGAAAGGCGTGGTGTATCGACCGGTGGAGGATGCTTTGGATAGGCGGAAAAAACGCCGGAGGGTTGAGCAGAAGGGGGCGGGGTTGTGTGAGGGATCCTTTGGGGAGCCGAGTATTCTGGAAAAAGCAGCACCCCCCCCTTACCCATCCCAACCCCAATCTATTTGCCATGTGTTCAGCCTTGGATGTGGCTCGGCCATGGACACCCGAGTCCTTGAAAAACCACCAAAGTTGCTCAAGTGTGCATGATCTTGGTGGGGGGTGGACAGGTTTGATTTCACATGATATATAACATGTCTTAAAATTGTTTGAACTCTCAAGTCACACCCTGCAGCCAATTCTCCGCCTTTGGCAGGTCCAAACGCAGATCAAGGAGTTAGCGGCCTACTTGGCCTCTCGTCCGCGTTTTTTCGTGGGGCGGACCGTTGCAAAGAGTTCGTGCCACAAGGCTTTTCTAGAGGCAGCAGGTTGGCAGCCCGAGTAGGGACCAAAGAGGATGAAGAACCTATCCAGGCAAAGTGGTGGACCAGCTGCACTCGTTGACGAAACGCGAGCAG